GGTGAAAGGGCAGTGAAGGGGGTTAACTGGGGTGGGGGGGGGGAGATTAAGGGGTTAAATGGGATTACTGGTGTACTAGCAGGCAATCTGGTGCTATCTGGGAGGGGCGCTAACACTATCGGAAGTCGCCAGCGACACTGATACAGTGATCAGTAAAAATCGCTTCACTGATCAGTGACACTGGTGACAGGGCAGTGAAGGGGTTAACTGGGGGGGGGGCGATCAGGGGGTTAAATGTGTCCTAGGTGTGTTCTAACTGTTAGTGTAGTGCTTTGTACTCACTTTTACTGTGTCTTCTTCTCTCTCTGGAACGGAATGTGTCCAGGCAGAGAAGAATGACATCATATCCTGTCCTGTGTAAATGTCAACACAGGACAGGATAGGACAGGGACCGATCATCTGATTTCAGCCAGACATCACTGGCTGAAATCTAATGATTGATCCCTCCGGGTTCGAATGGTGTCACCCGCGGGCCGGCGGGAGCGCGCGCGCGCCCCCTGCCGGCGAGAACGGCGGGAGCGCGGAACCCGTTTTAAAACGTGGTTTTGCGCCTGAGTGCCGCCCTGCAGACGTATATATACAGTGGCAGGGCGGCAAGCGGTTAATGCTGCTCTGTTTGTATAGCACAATGTGAGTACCTGTTTACAAGTGTTTGCAGTTTTTATACTATGCAGCTTTTGTGATTCATGTTTTGTCAGTCCACTGCACATCCCTGCTGGTGAATCCTGTGGTTCCCTATGTCCGGTCTAAATAGGAGTGCACAGTGTACACGCCTTTATTGAACAAGCACCATTAGACACCCTATAATAGATTCCTCTTCCCCTGATTTAACTGCCGAGATCAATGGCATAACTATCGACCCGTCCCCGCATGCCGGGGTAACCTTAAATTCTGAACTATCCTTTCAGGCCCACATCCAATCCCTGTCCAAATCATGCCACCTCAACCTCCACAACATCTCCAGAATACGCCCCTTTTTAACCAATGACACCACAAAGCTCCTAATTCACTCCCTGGTTATTTCTTGCCTCAACTACTGCAACTCCACCCCCATTGGCCTACCTTTGCATAGGCTATCCCCCCTCCAGTCCATCATAAATACTGCTGCCAGACTCATCCACCTTACCACTTGTTCAGTGTCAGCTACCCCTCTCTGCCAATCCCTCCAATGGCTTCCACTGGCCCAATGAATAAAATTCAAAATACTAACAACTTAACTTCCTTGAATTCTGTGACATGCATTCACTATTCCCTCTGGGTGAGCACTGCTGTGTTACACATTTCACAGAGCCTGCCTTCTAAACTACTGAGGTGCTGAGAGGAGGAGTTTCAGGATGCGGAGTCAGTACGGGAATTACTGCTTGCAGGCAGCAAGGTGCCAGGGGATATGTAGTCCCTAGAAACTGAAAGTAAACAGCAGAGGGTAAGCTGCAAGCATGCAGAGAATCCAGGAAGTTGTGGAAAAGGATGGCCAGCAGACAGGCAGAACTGACAACATGAAAGGAGATTTTTCAAGTAAGAATATATTGGATTGTTAAAAAATAATACTATTTTTTATATGGTTATTCAAATTCTCCGTGTATGCTGTGATCATAGAACTCCATTAACCTCTATCCCTTTCCCATTACTAGCCACTGGTGCAATGGCAATAAAACTGAAACACTTTTACCTGATCAAACGCCCCTGCACCCCGTCACTCAGTCGCTCCAATGAGGATGGGACTACACGGACAGTACTGTCTATTTCAGTGCCAAAACGCATAGATCATTTCAGCATCCAGCACTCTGCTACCGCTTTGTAAAAAAGGACAGGTGCCTTACCCAGCCAAGGACACAGTGGGCCACACATGGAAAGCTGGCAGTGTTGGGATCCCACTGAAATACTGAAATAGATATATGGGAACTGCCACTGCTCTTATTTCCAAAAATGCAGGCTCTTGGGCTCTTATCCACATACTGGTTTTCATACCTAGTGAGTCAGTGACCTGGAAAATGCATGCAGCCTGTAAGGTAAAAAAAAGTCTAAGATAATATGTTGCACGCTTCTTCCAGGTCAGTGACTTACTATCTAGTACAGCCACGATCTAGAGGAGTTAGAAATAACAGATTTCGGATTTGTACCATCAAGTTCCCTTTAAAGTGCAACTATATCCACCTAGAATCCAGCAATGCACCGTTCCTGGAACTCACTTCCGGGTCTCTGTCATCAGCCGCTGTCATTGGCCATGATGTGCAGGGGGTTCAGTTAGATTTGGCATTGCCAGTTTAGTGAAGTGAGCTGCGATTTCACAATTTACTGTACAGAAGCGGACATGCAGATATTTAGCTTTATTGCAGAAGAGGCAAAGCATGGGCAAAGTGGCCTTCAAAACTTAGCATTGTTGCTGGATTCATGGTATATATTGCCCCTTCTGATATATTATCTTTGTGGAGTTTTTTCCAGTGGGGTTTTTCATTTTTATTCTTATTTTTATAGTCTGTATTTGTCTCTGCCCAATGGGATACTCTATGACAACCTTTGCGTTTCAAGAGTTCAAGCTTTTTTGGATGGGGACGGGTGGATGATTTTGCATTTCTTGGTCCTGAAAGTTGGTGGTCATCATTCTTACATATCCTTTTTGATATCATTTGTATACTGTATATGTGATATGTATGCTTAGATTATAAATCTAACGATTGTGACATGCTCCCCCCTGATGAAGGTTTGTGTCAAAAATCGAAACACATCAGGGTTTCTAAATGCAATATTTATGAGTTTTGTACGATGATATATATTATTTTTTGGCGCCTTAATAAAAATCCACTTTTTGCTACCTTTCTATTCATTAAAAATTCTGCCTGTCCGCATAAGGTGGAGCCTAAAGTTCCACTTTAAGATATTCCCTGTATTCTTTGCATAATGACAATATCATGGAAGAAACCTGTTTTTTCCTTAAACTGATATGCATGATAAAAACATAGAAGAGTGACAACAGTAAGACCAAAAGGTATAATTCTGGGGTGTCACAGATTCATTACTTCTGCTAGAAGTCTCTTACAAGCATCCACTACTCAAAAGGTCAGTTTTGAACTTTCCTCCTGCTAGAGTGAGAACCATGCCCCATGTTCTTGATCTCAACTTCATATTACAGATACTGCCCTCCTGAACCTTATTCAATCCCTTCATTTATTTATTGGTTTCAGTCATGCCTCCCCATTTCATTCTTTTCACGATGTTGTACTTCCTACTTTCTCACAGTCTTTCATGATATATTATATTTTGTTGCCCATCAATGGACTTGTTTTATCCCACCATATATTTTTGTAAGTTAGGCCTCCAGAGTTGGACACAGTATTTTAAATGAGGTTTAACTAAATTTAGAATGCTATGTTTCCATGTTTTAGGTTCTGGAGCTTGGGTTCCCTCTGCCATGATAAAAGGACTTGGGATCTCTGCTATATGTGGAAAGACAGAAATAGCACTGTTTACATTTACTTGCAATAAATATATGGCCAACTAAGGGCCTGATTGTTTAAGCTCAAATTTCACTGCTGCAGTTGTATCACTGAGCAGGGGGACCCCCTTTGTATGATCTACGATGGCCCACCAATGTCTTAAATAGCCCTGAAGAGAGCTGAAGATTTTTAAAACATTTTTTCATGTGAGCATGGTGTTGGTCAGGAATGATTTTAAAGACTATAGTTGGGCATAGGAGGTTAGTTCTTTCAGTCATACAAGCAAGCTGGATGGAGGAATCCACCCCAAGCTGATAATATTCCCCCCCACCTCTCGTGCCTCCATGACATTTCCATCAAGATTAATAATGTAACTATCAGTCTGTCCCCTGAAGCCAGGGTACAAGGTGTAATCCTGGGCTCTGACCTATTCTTTTGGCGCCAAATCCAATCACTGTCAAAAGCTTGTAGACTTCACCTCCATAACATCTCTAAAATTCACCCATATTTAACTAATGAAACCACTGAGCTACTCATTCACTCCCTTATTATCTCTTGCCTTGACTATTGCAACTCCTTTCTCATAGGCCTACCTCTCCATAGGCTATCCCCTCTTCAATCTATTATGAATGCTGCTGCCAGACTTATCTACCTTACCAAATGCTCAGTGTCCACTACTCCTCTCTGCCAATCCCTCCACTGGCTTCCGATTGCCCAGCGAATTAAATTCAAAATGCTAGCAACAACATACAACGCTATTCACAACTCTGCCCCGAGCTACATCACTAATCTTGTCTCCAAATATCACCCAAACCGTTCTCTCTGCTCCTTTCATGATCTCTTGTTCTCTAGCTCCTTTATCTCCTCCTCCCATGCTCCTCTCCAGGACTTTGCCAGAGCCTCTCCCATCCTCTGGAACTCTCCACCTCAATCTGTCCGGCAATCCCCTACTCTGGCCGCCTTTAGGCGATCCCTGAAAACTCATCTCTTCATGAAAGCCTATCACGCCTCCAATTAAACATTTATCACTTCCATCAGCTTATCCCCCACAGTTATAACCTTTTGTACCACTTGCCCCACCCTATTAGATTGTAAACTCTTATGAGCAGGGCCCTCTTAATCCTCGTTTTTATATTGTATTGTAACTGTACTGTCTTCCTTTATATTGTAAAGCGCTGTGAAAACTGTTGGTGCTATACAAATCCTGTAGAATAATAATTGTATTCTGACAGCAGATCCCACTGCTGTCAGAATATACTGATCAGCGTCTGCAGCCGGATGAATCTTGATTTGTCTATGCCTAGCTTTACTCTTCTGTGAGGTTGAGATTTTTGCACCAGCCATGACAAAGAATGATGGTAACAGGAAGGGGCAGATCATCACATTATAAACTCCACCACAATTGTTGGGAAGGAGTCTGGAGGAGCTTTCATTCATGGTAACATGGTGGAAGACACCTGGCCCTTTTACACATGCTTTTACACAAGAGAGTATTTAATGAACAGTCACCAAGCGAACAAAAAAAAAAAAAACAAACTAATATTTGCATTAGCTATATACACTTACCAGTAGGATGCGAGGCAGAGGCCAACAGGACAACACTGCAAGACACAAATTGCAAATACTGTATGCATGTTTTCTGCAATAAGATAATAAAGATTTACTACCATCTCATACAGGATAAAATGAAAAACAATATACTGTATGTACTAGATACCCTGGATATTCTAGTAGATTAGTAATTGTGGGCCTACTGTACAAACTTCCTCTATTTCCTTTTTACAGTAGTTGCTTTATGTGTGTGAATAGGACTGTGAAGTCCAATACACATAGGGCTTTGACCCCACTGTCTTCTCCATCCCCTAATCTTACCCCATCCCCATTCCCCATTCTCTTCCTCAGAACTGCAAATAAACTGGAAGACACACTTATGATGAAGGGTGTGGCTGTTACTCATTTATGCAGGCAAAGGGAGAGCAGAAAATGCATTTCCATCAGCACAAAAAATAGCTTATTAAGCATGTCCAAGGGAAAATCAGTTAAACATTTTTACACCATAAGAAAAAAAAAAAGGAAGGATGTTCAATTCTACATAGACAGATGCCATCCCACCCCACCTGGCATCCATACCAGAAGGAGAACCCAATCTGAAATGCACTTGGGCTCTTGTGATGGGACTTTATGGAAGCAGCAAGAGTGAAGTGGAATATATGGTCAAGACACAACAGGCCAGTCATTGTCTAGCTGGTTTTGGGAGCAGTATTCCCTTGTATAAACTGGAACCTTTTAGCTGAAATCTAGAACAAAGAATTTAAACAGAAATTTCCAGTTGGAAACTCTAAACAGTTTTCCTTATACTGATTATTGTAATCCTACCACATTCCTGCGGTTCTGAGCAATCAAACAGTCTGTCATGTATTAGCAAAAAATCCCAGTACATTCATTAAACTGCTGTGATATCACCTCATAACTTATTTCTCCACAAGCACAAGGGCAGCCACGCGGCCAGGCCTGGGAAAACGCAATCCTGTTTGTTTGGCTTCCAGAATGAAGACAGCCAGTATTAAAAGAAAACATGCATTTGTAGATATAGTAGAATGTGCTAGAAAGCATTTGCCTTGGGGGAACTCGACCTATGTATAAATCTATCAATACTAAGAAAGTGAGAATAGTAAGTATTAACATAGTGCTTGCAATAATGTATAGGAGAGCTGTTATATTACAGGTTTTTATTTTTCTATTGCTATTTATAAGTAATGTCAGGCATCATTATAGTCATGAAACATGAATAATGGTGTGACAAAAAGTGAACAAATAAATTGGCTTTGCCTTTGAAAGTAGAGGTCTTTTCCATTATTTCTTGGGCTTGTGTAGATGGGCTGTAGACTCAGAAGAGAATTAAATGTAGTAAATTTTCAGATGCATCTGTTTTGCTTTCCAGTTTTTGCTTTTTTTAAACAGTTGCATTAAGCCACTTCTTAGTTGAACTAAGCTGCTTCAACACACTTCTGTATTTCACTCAAAACACAAGTCCTAACAGTGACAATTGAGCACAGAAAATACAGAGACCGACAATTCTAAAAAGCATGACTAAAAAAAAAAAAAAATTAAATTCTTTAAAACATCCAAATGCCATAAGCTGAAAGTTGATGGATGTGAGGTATTAAAATGTGCTAATTTTATAGTAACAAAACGTAAATGTACAATATAGTCCAATTTTCAGTTATTCAAAACAGGCAAACCAGTTTACAGATGATGCAAAACTGAACAAACAGCTATATTTTCCCCTTATGACTTTATTTTGGATGCAAAAAAGCCTTGTCCCCATATTTCGGTTTTTAGTAGTTCAGAGAACTCCATAAGTACCCTGGCGTGAGGGGTGGGGCTGATGGTAGTGTTGTTGATCTTGATGGAGAAGTCGGGGGGGGCACGGGCTGGGGGGAATACTAGAAGCTCAGTTTTGGAAAGAGTTTGAGGAAGTGGAGTGATATCCAGTCCGATATGTCACTTAGTAGGCTGGTGATGCAATTGGAGACTGAGGGGGTGAGGTGAGGGGTAGAGAGATAGATTTGTGTGTTGTCGGCATAGAGACGGTAGTTGAAGCCGTGGGAGTTTATCAATTGTCCAAGGGAGGAGGTGTAGATGGAGAAAAGGAGGGGTCCAAGGACAGAGCCTTGAGGGACCCCGACAGAGAGAGGGAGTGAAGAGGAGGTGGCAGCGTTATAGGTAACACTGAAGGAGCGCTGCGATAGATAGGAGGAGAACCAGGAGGGAGCGGAGTCTCTGAGGCCAAGAGAGTGGAGTTTTTTTGAGGAGGAGGGGGTGGTCAACCATGTCAAAAGCCGCAGAGAGAGGTCAAGTAGTAGGAGTATAGTATAGTGGCCATTGATTTTGGCGGTTAGTAGGTCATTGGTGAGTTTAAGTAGGGCAGTTTCAGTGGAGTGTAGGGGGCGGAAGCAGGACTGTAAAAGGGTCGAAAACGTTGTTGTCGGTGAGATGGGAGCTCAAGCGATTGTAGACTAAGCGTTCTAGAAGTTTAGAGGTAAATGGCAGTAGGGAGATGGGTCAGAGGGGTCCAGGGAGGGTTTCTTAACTATGGGAGTGATGTGCACGTGCTTTAGAGGGGAGGGGAAGGTACCGGTGGAGAGGGAAAGATGTGAGTGAGGGAGCAGTGGGGTGGATGTCTGAGCAGTGGCGAAGTCCCTACGAATTGCATCAATCTTGTTTTTGAAGTGGTTGGCAATCTCGTGGGCGGTAAGTGAGGTACTGGGTGGAGGCAGAGAAAGTAGAGAGTTAACAGTGGAGAAGAGCCGGCGAGGACTGGAGGAGAAGGTACTAATTAGGGTAATAAAGTAGGCTTGTTTGGCAGCGTGAAGGGAGGAAGTGTACATTAAGAAGTCAGATTTATAGCGGGTGAACGCTTGTTGGGATTTGGTTTTACACCATAGTCGCTCCAGCACACAACTATGTTGTTTGAGGTTTCTGGTGTGGTCGGTCTGCCCGGGTTGTAGCGGTCGGGGCCTAATGCCTCGTGTTGTCAGGGGTGCAAGCGAGTCTAGAGCGGCTGAAAGCGAGTTGTTGTAGACAGCAGTGGACAGGTCAGGGCAGGACAGGGGATGGATGCTGTCGTAAAGCTGGTCAGTTGCAGAGTGGAAGGGAACAGGGTTCCAATTCCCGAGGTTTCTGCTGGTAATTGTTTGCCGTTTGAAGGGATAGGTGTTTGAGGACGAGGAGACGGAGAAGGTGATGAGGTTGTGATCGGAGAGAGAAAAGGGGGTGTTTGTGAGGTTGCAGGGAGTGCAAAGGTGAGAGAAGACAAGGTCAAGAGTGTTCCGGTCAGAGTGGGTTATATTTAGGAAATATACTCACAAAAGTGATGGTAAAACAGGCATAAGTAAACCATAATCCACACAGGGTTACAGGTAAATCCAAAGGGGGGGGATACAAGCTAATGCGTTTCGAAGGGTGGTCCCTTCTTCATCAGAGCTGGGTTTGGCAGATAGAAACTTCAGTATAGCAGAGTTCCCATGGCAAGGAGACATTCAGCCACTGAGTGTCAGTATTACAGCATTTCAGCCTGTTTCAGATGTTTTACCATCACTTTTGTGAGTATATTTCCTAAATAAAATAAAATTAGTCACTATTTATTGAGGTAATGTGCAAGGTTTGTGCGCGCTCTCTTTCATCTCCTTCTACATTCTGCTTGCCGTCTACCTCAACCCCTGCTTAAACCTGTTTACTCTCTCATCTTACATAGTTACATAGTTAGTCTGTCTGGAAAAAAAAGACAAAAGTCCATTCAGTTCAACCATTAAAAAAAAGTTATAATCCTTTACCCACAGTTGATCCAGAGGAAAGCATAAAAAACCCAGCAAAGCATGATCCAATTTGTTCCTGCAGGGAAAAAAATTCCTTCCTGATCCCCCAAGAGGAAATTGGATATTCCCTGGATCAACTTTACCTTTAAATGTTAGTAACCAGTTATATTCTGTGTATCTAAGAAAGAATCCAGGCCTTTTTTGAAGCAATCCACTGAGCTGACCAGAACCAACTCTTGAGGGAGTCTATTCCACATTTTCACAGCTCTCACTGTGAAGAAACCTTTGTGTGTTTGGAGATCTACGACATTGTTTAATGTATCCACACTGTAGCCCATCCATTCCGGTCATCCCCCCTGGTGGGGCAATCCTGGGGGCAGTGTGCAGAAATGAAAGCTGGCTGCCACTAGGGTTCCAAGCCATTGTCCCTTGCAGGGCACTCTTGTGAAAACCTACTAGTATTTAGACTCCACACTCTAGATCAGGGGCGGGCAAACTGCGGCTCTCCAGCTGTTGTGGAACTACATTTCCCATGAGGCATTGCAACATTACAAAACTGACAGTTACAGCTAGGCATAATGGAACTCGTAGTCTTGCAACAGCTGGAGAGCCGCAGTTTGCCCCCCCCTGCTCTAGATGAACCTGTGTGACCTGCCAGTTGGCACCATAATAGACCTAGAAGGGTTGACTCACCAACAGAGGAAGCCATTAATGTGATCACAATATAAAGTATGATAACTATAGTCACTAGAGTTTCTCATTTCAGTTCATGTTTGTGTTATATAAATTGTTTAGACACTGTTGATCAAGGTAGTGATGTAGAAGATTTAACTCACCAGCAGTGAAAGCTATTGATACAGAATATTCTAAATATGGAGTATACTGGCAGTAGTCACTGACATTCCCTATTTCACTGTATGTTTTAACAAATTATGCAACACAAAATATAAAGATCATACTTACCTGAAAAAATAGTTTATATACTGTTGATCAAGGTCACTGAGAAAAAGAAAAACAAACAAACAAAATGAGACGGCGGTCACAAAAATGCTGGGTTATATAATATTTGGATGCAGTGTGTAATGGAGAAATGAAATAAGCAAAAAAAAAAAAAAAAAAAGTAATTATCCTTCATAAATACATATATTTCATCATACCATTGTGTTGTATCCTTTGCTACTGTTGAAGTATAATCCACACAGTTTAAGAATGTTTATTGTTTAAAGTGTGCTCCTCGGAGAAGGAACAAACGCAGCAACCACAAGTTTCATTATAGCACAAAATCTTTTGAGATACAGAACCCATACTGATGCACAGTTATATTTAGTTACCACCATGCATGCATACTACCTTAGCAAACTTGACTTCTGAGATTTCTGGAATATTCTGTAACATCCTGGAAAAAAAGATTGAAGAACATGTAGCATTATCATCTCTAATGTATAACTTTAGCCAAATGTTTTTAATTTTTAGATCTGGGTTAAATGGGGGGAGAGTCGGTAGATGGATGTCATTGGTATCTGTGTCCTTGTTAGGGAGATGCAACATGGCTACACCTCCTTTTGTCCCGATGACTATTGCCCGCAGAGAAAACAAGCAATGCACTGGAACAGTATTGAAGCAATATCTTCTAATGGCAATACTTGCTGCTTGTGTTCCATTGACAATCGGCAAGATTTAGTGGTTGTAACCCTTACATATACCCAGTGAAGTGACTGACCTCAGGTGATACACACAGATGAAACAAATCCTCCTACGTAAATTGTATATTTCTATCTACAGCCATCGGTCCCAGGGCTGGATTGAGCCTGTGTGATGTGGGAGTGCAGTAAAAAAAAAAGTCAGGGGGGCAGAAGATGGGAGGTCAGCAGGGCAGTGTATAGGGGGTAACCAGGGCAGAGGATAGGGTCAGAAGTTTGTATTGCAGTGTACAGAGGTCATTAGATTGTAGGGCAGTGTACAGGGGTCAGCAGGGCGGAGGACAGGGATTAGGAGTAGATGAGGCGGACTTCACAGGTCAGTAGTAAATTTGCAGAGTTCAGGGGCCAGTAATAAGTGACACAGAGGACACATTTTGCCTAACAGTAGGAAAAGCTTCAAGGGGAATGATTAAACAAAATCTGTGCCAAGTTATTGTATACTTTGCACACATATATCATAATCCTTGTACCCTCAAAATACTCCAATTTACTATGTCACAAGTGACAATCTCACAGATACGCAAATCTCAGAATGAAGAATAATTTTTAAATATTTAAATGTTTCCCATCACATGCTTTTCTGTACACAGAAGTGATCGTTTTGTCTGTCTGAGCCAACCCTAAAGAAGAACTTCATTAAAACCAGTAATTGTTGGGATAATTAACACTTTGGTCAGGACTACATAATGTACAACATAATGTATAGAGTGCAGGGGTCAGGAGTGAGTAACATACAAAACAACATATAGAGTGCAGCATCAGGACAAGCCTACCTGTTCACATCAGAATTACCCCTTACATCTAGAATCCCCATAAAACAGAGTCCACAAAGTCCCGTCTCTACATCAAGTCCTCCCCTTTACATCGGGTCCCAAAAGTCCCCCTCCTTACATCAGGGTCCCCTTAGCCCCCTCCATACATCAGGGTCCCCTTAGCCCCCCTATTAAAATCAGGGTTCCCACAGCCCCCCTCCTTACATCATGGTGCCCATAGTCCCCCTCCACAGCAGGGTGCCCATAGTCCCCCTCCTTACAGCAGGGTGCCCATAGTCCCCCTCCTTACAGCAGGGTGCCCATAGTCCCCCTCCTTACAGCAGGGTGCCCATAGTCCCCCTCCTTACAGCAGGGTGCCCATAGTCCCCCTCCTTACAGCAGGGTGCCCATAGTCCCCCTCCTTACAGCAGGGTGCCCATAGTCCCCCTCCTTACAGCAGGGTGCCCATAGTCCCCCTCCTTACAACAGGGTCCCTATAGTCCCTCTCCTTACATCAGGGTTCCTACAGTCCCCCTATTAAAATCAGGGTCCCCATAGTCCACCTCCTTACATCAGGGTCCCCATAGCCCCCTCCTTACATCAGGGTCCCCATAGCCCCCCACCTTACACTCCACTCCTCCCTCGCCTTAACCACTGAAAGATCTTCATGGCAGTGCTAATCCATCCTGTACCAAAACAAGAAGCCCATGGGATGAAGACTTGATTGTAGTGATGGACAGTGCACCCTGTGTACCCATTGGCTGAAGAGGCAGTGCTGCCCGCCTCCTGCTGCCTCTTCAACCAATGGGTAGCTGAATTCCTCTCTAAAGCCCCTCCCCCTTGACATCACTTGGGATCTCCTGAGTCCCAGCCGACTAGCTTACTATGCCAGCGGCTGGGAGGACATGTATTATAATACAGGAGATAGTGGCAACTCAATGTACAGCCTCCCTGCTGCCTTGCCGCCCCCCCCCCCCCCCTGCAGACTTTATGGGACCCGTGTCCGCCTCTCCCCTTATCAGCAGCCCTGAAGTTGGAGAGTTTAAGGCTTGGGGGGGGTGAATATAAAAGGGCAGTGATGTTTGAAGAAGGGGTTAACTAAAAGACCATTTTAATACTACTGTTTTATGCTCTAAAACATCTGCATATACTTTAAGCCAGGGGTCTCCAAACTTTTTAAACAAAGGGCCAGTTTACTACCCTTCAAGCTTTTGGGGGGCTGGATCGTGGTCACTTGAAGTAGAAAATGTCCTGGCATCAGTGAGAGTAATCAATGAACCATCTTTAGTAACAGGTAGAGAAGTATTAGGTGTTAGTGGGGGAATAGTGCTGCATCCTTGGTGTCAGTGGAAGGAATAGTGCCCCATTGTTGGTGTTAGTGGCAAAAATTATGCCCCATTGTAGGTGTCAGTGGGAGGGATATATAAAGGCAAACAAAGAGCCGCATGCGGCCCAGAGCCACAGTTTGGAGACCACTGTTTTAAGTCAACATGTGGGCTGAGCCCCAGCAATACCCTACATTAGGTGTTTGATTATACATGACATGAAATTAGATGGATATAAATTGCAAGCTGTAAAGTGTTAGGGTGCATTAAAATTCATGTTAGGACATCCATATAGTAAATGTGGTTTTGCTAAAATATCATAGCTGAAATAAGTTATATGTAAATCTTTTACCGTGTTTACTAATTATTTTCCTAAGGCAACCAATTTCAAAAGAAGTTTCTCTAGTTAGATGAAAATTGTTACAAAAACCCTTATTATATCAGGATATCTATTCACAAACACTTGAGCTCAATGGATAGGATAGCCATATATCAGTGACTAGGTATAGACCACAATCCTGCAAATGTAGAATAGACCACATCATAGCAACATTCAAAAATCAACAAAAAACTATCATTTATTTTACATGTTTCAGAAGTCCTGAACAACAGCAGACACCCCAGAATGCCTGTTGATAGCTTTCTTAGGCTTCTCATTTAGATTTATTTTGTTACTGGGGCCTGACATTTTATAGGCTAGGCTCCACCAAATGCCATCCCCTTGACCATCAAAGTGATCATGCTGAAAAATGGAATGGCAATTGACTATGTTTAGCCAAGAAGTCTCCTACCAATAATAAATTGAGGTGGAGGGCACAGAAGAGGCCTTTCTGGCTAATAAAGGTAATATGCATCTTGTGTTGTCTGCTTTTAGTTTATACTTTAACATATTTAACACAGGGCACAGATTCACTTTAACTCTGATGGTTAGTTACTTTCAGCCAAGTTTAATGGTATGTTCCACCAGTTGCACGTACCTGAACAAACTAGATGAATCATGGCCCAAAAATAACCGTCTTGATCAAACTGTAACAAAAGCAGAGGTGATACAGTATACCTATCTACCATATTTAAGATAATTTTTATAATCTTTCAAAAGCTGAATTCCAGACTAGCAGGTAAATACAAAGCTGAAATACATAATTATGACAATTGGTAAGAAACACCCTGGCATTTAGTGTGCATAACCCTGTTAGTCCTTCCTTGTCAACTTTTTTTTCCTGTGAAATCCCCCAAAAATGAGCATCAGCCAGTCATCTTAAATTAGTACTACATTGCATCTGAGCACCACAAACTACAAACACTTTGTCATTTTTTAACATTCAAAAGCAAACTCACCCACCCATCCATCCATCCATCCATATCTCCAAACTTTATTTTGCTGATAAAATCCCTTTGAAAAACACCCCCTAGCATTTCTGGCAGTGACCATCTCAAGTAAGAGCAGATGATTCATGTAGCATTTATTTCCTAAATTCCATCTGCCCTTAGCTCAGACATGCAGGCAGGAGGGTGTGCTTAGCTGAGAAAACCCCTCCTCCCCTCCTGAAGACTCCTGGGAAGTCTGACATAATTTACCTAGGCCAATAACCAGGAAGTCACTAAAGGAATTAAAAAAAAAAAAAAGTTTAAAACAAGTAAATATGATATACTGATATACTTTCCTATCTATTTTTTAATGCTAGCAGCATAAGGATTACAATACGTCAATCTTGATTGAAAGGTAAATTCCACTGTAAAGTCCATAATTATTTAATGTTGATAAAATTAGGTTCAACAGGAAGATGATGAAAGGTAGTCAACGTGTTTCAAGAGCCAAGCAACCCCCCTTCATCAGGGCTCAAATAAAAAGTAAAAAAGCTTCCTATAGTACTTAATCTATAAAATATCCTGGAAAATGTCTTAACAAGACAAGGAACATTGATAGTCATACTGTACATGTGCTTGAGATGGTCGCTGCACACGTTTATCAAACACATGTCCATTATGATCATCAATGCACCCTCTAATTTGGAAAAAAAAATATTTTAAGCTTGTATAGATAAGAGTCCTACAGGAAGCTTTTTTTTTTTTTTTTTTTTTTTTTTTTTTTTTTTTTTTTTTTACACGTCTTATTTGAGCCCTGATGAAGAGGGATTGTTTGACCCCCCCCCCCCCCCCCCCCCCCCCCCCCCCCCCCCCCCCCCCCCGAAACATGCTGGCTACCTTTCATCTTCCTCTTATCTAAATTTTATCAACAGAAAATTATGGACACTTAAGAAGACCAGCTGGCACTCTTTTTGTGGATTTCAGTTGGATCTCTCAGTGGAGGTCATTGCTCTTCTTTTGTGGAGAAAGGAAGGACAAGGATCTACTTTTGCAATCTGCGAAGTCAGAGTCGCAACGATCAGGACAGTAGAATTGGATGCGATTTGTCATGAGAATTGAATGGTCAAATCGCATCAGTGTGAACCAGGGCGTAATCATCAAGTCCAACAATGCTCTCTGCCTGGTGGTTAAAAAATGTAGTCCAGCGCCACCCATCCACCTTTTCTTCTACTCTCACTTGGTCTTGTCTCACTTCTGTATGTGTACTTTTGCTGTTATTGTTATTTTTACGTATACTTTGAACATAAAGAAATGACTGGCACAATAATAACACTTTATGTCAATAAACAGCAGTATTTACAATGCTCTAATTAGTGGAAATCTGCAAGGTGGTAGAGCAAATATTAAAAACACAGACAATCTACAGCTAGGTAATTTGCCTGATTTTCTATAAAGGACCCCCCAGCAGCAGAACATGCAGCCGGGATAATTACCACTTCATACAACTCACTAGGTAAGCCGGCTGCCTTCCATTCTAATAGGCACTTCAGATACAAAGCTGTGTTAAGTATGCTATTAACCAAATAAAAAAATTACACTATTATGATGCATTGAAGAAACCTACTGCCTGCTTTGTAGAAATTCAGTCCTGTGATAAACCCATTGCTCTGCACCAACATCTAACAAAATGACACACATACAATTGCCACAGGATACGTGAAGCTGTGAATTGTTCTAGTAACTGAAGGGGTATTGACCACACAGTTTAAAACAGGGCAGCTGACGTGATTTTAGACACGGTACAATAATATCACAGTTCAGCTACTATATACAGAGCCGAAGCGGAGGTGAACAGTTATACGGCATACGGTATTAATCATCCAGGACAGTAATCAAAGCCTCTAGATTCTCAAAGGAAAACCACTGAATGGTTTACCAGTTCAATATCCTTGCACACTGTATGACGGCATTTATTATAGGTAAAAAAAAAAGTAAATCCAAAATGAAGAACATGTGGTGTTTGTGGTATTTGGATGGTCTTACATGTTTACTTTAGAAAACATGTAGCCCATCAATAAATTTTTTTAGATACACATGAAAAAAGAAATCTTGATAGAAATAATCTTATTGATATTTGTCAACGTTTTTAAAAGCCTTGTTCCTTTGTACAGTTAGAATTTGTGTGTACATAGGACAGACATATTTGCTCATTACAAACACAGATTCTGCATCCTGGTTTGCAGTGTCAAACAATATTTGTGCTTTACTGCACCTTATTACAATGGAAATCTAAAGCTGGCCATACAGGGGCTCAACAAGAGAAATCTAACAGATTCCTCACTCTACCCAAATGAATGAAGAAATCTCCCCTATGGACTAATATTTTCATCAGGACTTGCAGCTGCTGCATATCCAAACGGCAATAGCATCTGATTGAATACAGTCACTGTTCAGCCAGAACTTTCCACTCACCTCTTGCAACAAAATTTGATTGAAAAGTGAAGAGTTGGAGCTGGGTGGTGCCGACAGGGCCACCTGAATCTTGGGATTTGACAAAATTCTAGCAGAGTATGGCCAGGTTAGAAGTCATCCATATAATCAAAAGCAACCCACTGCTTGTGTGGCTGACATAATTTCTTTAGGGTTGTTAAAGCCTAGTTTATTATCAAATGAATTAACTAAAACCAACACAAGGGATATTACTTACAGTCATTAGGAGGTGTCCCTTGTGCTGTCAGCTACAGCATTAGCTGAAATATTCCTCTTCCTACCCCAGCCACTGTAATCTTCTGATATTGAAGGGATTATTAGTGCCAACAGACCCGTGACAGGCAATCCTCAGTGCTGACTGCATCCACTGAGCAAGTTGGACTCACTCAGAGCTATGCTTTAGAGACTTATTTATTTATTACAGGTACTTATAAAGTACCGTCAATTTATGCAGCTCTTTACATATAGGAAATAAAGGCCACAAAAATTTAAAACAAATGACAGATTGCAAAAGATAGCAAAAAAACCCCCCAAAATTCTTCAAATATATTAATAGTAAAAAGGTCCAGTCCCAGCATGTAGGCCCTTTACAACATAATCTAGAGTGGGTGACTGGGGACAAAGAGAAGGCAAATTTATGAAATGCCTTCGACAGCTCTGTGTATACAAAGGAGCATGGCGGAGCTCTTGTCCATATGGGCATGGTATCGACACAGCTTCAGATGATCCACATTGGCTCACAATTGATATGATTCAGAAATATTTAGACAGAATAAAGGTGAATAAAGCATCTGGACCAGATGGCATACACCCACGGGTCCTTAAAGAATTGAGCTCTGTCATTTCAAAGCCATTGTTTCTAATTTTTAGAGACTCTTTCATGACTGGCATAGTATCACTGGATTGGCGTAAGGCCAATGTGGTGCCAACATTTAAAAAGGGGTCAAAATCTTTACCACGTAATTATAGACCTGTTATTTTAACATCTATAGTTGGGAAGATACTGGAGCGTTTAATAAAAGACCACATAGATGAGTTCTTGCTGGAAAAAATATTTTAAGCAACAGACAGCATTGATTCATAAAAGACAGAAGTTGTCAAACAAATCTGATTTCTTTTTATGCAGAGGTGAGCAAAACCTTGAAAAGAGGGGTGGCGATGGACGTGGTATACTTGGATTTTGCAACAGCTTTTGACACAGTTCCCCACAGCTGCGGTTTCTAAAGTCTACTATGATATAGAAGTTTATTGTCCAGCCAACTGACATGTGATCTAATTACTATCTCTAAGCCATACTAAAGCTGTTGTAACATTGTCAATAGAAAAGAGATCTTTCTCGCAAGTATTCTGTGTGCATGGTTTTTTCTCCCTGTGCACAGTAAGGGGCTAATATATTTTTTACAGTATATACAGATTGCTTTTACTTTAACTTCCTCCTTCATTCATAGAAACTGTACTATAGCGTCTATGAATAGAGGCAGACCCATCAACCATATGCCTATCCTCCCATTCATATATCGTTTTTCATTCAACAAAGTCATAGAGATGAGTGCCTGTCATATCTCTGTAGGTTCTTAACCCCTGCTTCACTGGAAGATTACAGCAGCAGTGGGATAATTCAGAATAGGAAGATTTCAGCTATGGCACAAGCCAGCAGCACATGTGGCACATCCTATTGGATGTCCCTTGTGCTGATTTTTGTTTTTTCATTAGTGACTAAACTTAGGCTTTAGGCAGAATCAGTAAAGCAGATATCTACAATTAAAAGTTTATTACACCGAAAGTATCTCTTTCACATGCATATTGACAAAACATTAAGAAGACTAAAGTGTCAGATAGTTTATTGCTGTCATGGATGACTCTAGCCAAAAACATTTCTGTGATACAGACCTAAGCACAGCACTGTTGCTTTTGAAGCTGAACTCCAGACAGATATAAAATGCACAATTGAATGCAGTTGTTTAATCATTAATACTTCATTACATTTACTTATAAAAGCAGTGTAAGTACTTGAATTTGATTTGGTGCCAGCATTTCATAGTCTATACAGCAAAGCACAGAAAGAGGAGGGAGAAGCAACACATGGAGCCAATCAACTGTACTGCAGTTTATGAATATGAAAGCCATACAAATGAGCATCCTTTACTGCTCTGTCATAGCATGGGGATTGTTACGTTTTTAGAAACATAAATAAAGATTTGAGGTTTCCTACACATTTTAATGTTTAG